AGAGAATTGTAAGCATATAATAAATACAGTATATGAGTTCAATTTCGTTTCTGACTTGTTTTTATCTTTTCTTATGAATCATATGTTTTAAACCAGGAGAATAATATATAAAACATGCATACATTTCTATATTTTAACAGCTATTAAAAAATAAGAGAGAAAAATGCAACTTTGCCTTGCTAGATACTAACTAAAGTGCTAAGTGAAAATTAGAAAAATACAGCAGCTAAAATAGTATAGTAAACTAAAATTCCATATTTATATGTATGTATAATTGCTATATCTTGGTATTAAGCATTTTTCTTCATTATTTATGAAACGGCCTATGATACATGAGAAAAAATGATGGGGACAATTTTCTCATTGTAGTTTACAATATAAAAAATTTAGTAATAAGCTGACTGTAATATTAAGGGACACACTTGAAATAGAATTTTGTAGAATTTTATTGGAGACATTATCTCTAATAATTCTTTGTGTTTTTGTGTTTCTGTTGGATTTCTGAGTTTTGTGATTTGGAGTTCATGATATATTTTGATTGCCATTTCAAATGGCAAAATGTTTCTGTGGAAAAATCAGATATTGTGAACATTTTATTTTATATAGGTGTGGTTAAAATAGCAGACACCTTGTGAAAATTGTAGTTGTTTTAATGTATGCATCAAATACCAAACAATTGTTTTGTCTGTCAGTCAGTTACATGTCAGGGCATGTTACAATTTGTGTATACATTTTGTGTATACATAACTTATATTAGTGATACCCGATCTCTAAAAATGTTTGTTGATCTTTAGTGAAATTATGGGTAAAATATTTAAAAGAAATACATTTTAAATGCCTTATTTTTAATTAAAATGAGAAAGACTTTGAAAGAGTTTGTTCATGAATGAAATATGTGACTGTGCAGTTTCTTAAGAAGATAAACTCTCAATTTATTTTTCAAATGTTATTAAAATGTGTCTGTATTTGTTATTTATTGAAATTTTAAAATGAGGGAGGAATAAAGCAGCAACATATGCTATTTTCGGTTACCTCTATCGAGAGAGTGAAAGGGAAAGCAAAGTCTGTTATTGGCCAAACAGGGTTTTCTCCTTAAAAAAATTGAATTGGAAACTGAAAAGATATATTGCACATAATGAAGGGTTTTATTAGGACTTTTTTGGAGTTGCGTGAATTTTTCAATTCAATATAGTTGGAAGAAATTATAAAATTGGGAGATGTCAAATATTGTTGGGCAATTATAGGATAGTCTTTCTTGCTGATTCTAAGAATTTAGAAAACATTTAAATTAGTGGTGTTGAGTACAAGGCTCTCAGGGCAATAATAATTTAGGAAAATGTGGAGAATTTATAAAGGGGAAGGGGAAGATGAAGTTGAACCTAAAGATACCCCTTAAATAGTAAACATCTGATACTGTGAAGAGTTCTCTGGAGATTAACAAATAGTACTCTGTCAGGGATAATTTTCTGGGCATCTGAGGTTGTTTGTGTGATAAGGCAGGGAGGCGAGATAACATAACTATAACTGTGTGACAAAACGTCCTAGGTTAGTTTCAGATAGTGCGGGAGAAAGTAAGTGCAACAGTTTGGCTTTAGAAGTAGGAAGGGTGCAGGACTCGCCAGCCCGGTTGCCACGATAGAGTTAACTGTGGCGCCGCCCGGTGCACGCTGGGAGTTGTAGGTCGCGGGAATTGTGGGAGTTGTCGTGAAAAGTCCGCTTTCTGGCTGTGATGGCCGCCATGGAGGCATGGAGTTACAGATTTCTGCATTTTGGGGGGCTTGGGGGGCTATCTGGGGCGCCAGAGGACCACCAAAGCCCCCAGGCTCTGGAGGGCCTGTTGACTGTGGTCCGGGGAGATGGGCGAGCGGCTTGAGGGGTTAACGTTGAAGCCGGCAGTCGGCCCATCGACCAGGGGGCCCGTGGCGGCTGTGGGCTCGGTGAGGGGTCTTAGCAGGCGGGACCCTGGCGGTCCGGCCGGCCGCCTTTGAAGTGTCAGGGTGGCCTGGGCGTTTTTCAGTGTGCTCCGTGTGGCTGTGGCTTGTATCCTGAACTCTGCTTTGTGCTTACAGCGTTTGGCTCTGTCAGTGCAGTCGTCGGTGCTCACGACCCTATTTAGGGTTAAGTTGGGCTCCTTTTCTTGGGTCTGGTGGGACTTAACACAAGAGCTGGGCTCCTGGAAGTGTACAGCCGTGTCCTGGGTGTTGTCTGTGTGGTTTGGAGTGTTTGCATGAGTTATAAGTGTGTCTGAAGGTGTGCTTGGCTCTGCCTTGCATGTGGTGAACTTTGCCCTTGTTCGCTAATTCTGAGAAGCTGTGTCAGGCAGTTCCCGTTCGTGAAATACTTTTCTTTGAATTTGAGTGTGTTCTGACACTTTTGGGAGCTTCTGGAGGAGTGTTTGGCAGTCGTTTGTAGAAAGACACATGTGCAAAAAAACTATGTAAAATGTCAGGATCACAGGTATCTTTAATTTTAGGGAGCAAGTCCCCTTTGCTTCCCTGATGCTGTGAAGCTGGTATTATTTTATTTTATTTTTATGGAAATCACCCGTGCTGTTTAACTTTGTTACCTTACTCATGGCTTACAGGGTTCCTCTGTGTAATAGGACTCTGAGCTTTGGTGTTGGGTACCTTTTGAACATTTGAGGTAGAATGAAGCTGAGTTGGCATGTAACTGCATGTGTCAGATTCTCAGGATACCAGCAGATTGCCAGGCACATCAGTATCTGTCTTCACTGTCTTACTTGTCTATACACACTTGGTTTCATTGTTTCTGTGACTATGTACTGTTCCATAAATTCTGCCGTATTTTTGCGGTCTGGATGTTGTCTATGTAACTTGAGGCATAACTGGCAATAAAAAGTCATTTCTCAGACATTAGTATTTAAAAGCTTTTTTTTTTTTCCTACAAGTAGAGCTGGTGTTAGAAAACTTTTACCCTCAAGTTTGGTGAAATAAGAGATGGGAAATAAGGTCCAACAGGGGATTTGATACTCAGCTGTCAGTTTTTAGTTTTAGGGGCAGCCACACGACAGAATGGTTTACAGAAAGAGTGGGAGGATATTACTTTTTTGTTGGTATTTTAGAGCATATAAAACTTTCATTGTCATTGTGTTAGAACAGTTTCAAATAGTATTAAAAAGCCCTTTGATGTGTATAATGAGTGAGGTTTTCATAGATCCTGTCTTTGGGTTTGCTTAGGACTTGACCACGTGAAAATGTAATTGTGGTACAGAAAGGAACAAAGTTGCTAGATTTGTATGTGTGATTCTGTTGAAAGTGATTTTGGCTTCAGGTTGATAGTCTGATATTGTTTGGCTTGCTAGTCAGCTCTCAGGAATGCATTTTCTTTCTTAGGCCTGCTTTACAATATGAGTGTAACAGCAGATTGCCAAGCAGATTCATACCTGTCCTAGCCTGTCCATACAAACTTTAACTGCGGTTTTTCTGCCACTACGTACTGTTGCATCAATTCTACTTTATTTCTGTGCTTTAAGTCTTGTCTACATAACTTGGATAACTGTCATGAAAACTCTCATGTGTCTTAGAACGTTAACTCATTTGCCAGTTAAAAAAGATTGAGAAATTTATTTTAAATACTCCATTCTGCCCATTTTTGTTATTGTTTGGTGATGTGGTAAAGTGCCATGCTGGTGAACTATTTTTTTTTTTTTTAATCCTAGAAGGGTTAAATGTCTAGTTTGTAGATTGTAGAGTCATTCAAAACCAACCACAGCCACAGTGCTAATTTACTTGGAAAGAAGTTCCTTACATCTTTCATTTCCAAGTAATTTCTTACTTGAGTTAATTAAAACAAATGGCTCATTAAAAAGTGTCCTGAAGCTGTTTTGAGAATAGAAGGGTACCTTGCTAAGTTTAAAGGTAAGCTTATCTCTGCAGTTGCACAGAGCCTATCTGGACATTTATATGAGTAGACACATCTCCCCACCATGTAGTGAGGCTTTGCACCCAAGAATTCCAGTGTTTAATGCCTGAGACCTGTTTGATACTCTGCTTTCCACTGCTATCTTTCTGTTACTGGCGTGAAATTTTTTTTGTAGTAAATGAAGACAGCGGGAGTTTCAGGAAAAGAAAGTATGGTGTGATCCATTTGCTTTCTGGAGAACATGATTCTTAAGCAGAATATATACATATTTGATAGATGTACCAAAAGCTGTCTTTTTGAAACTTTTTAAGTTTTGCATGGTTTCACTGAAACTCCTTTCAATGAGACAGAACAAAGGATAATTTTCTTGACCAAGGTATAACAGTTTTATGGTTCTAGTGTTTGAACATTTTTTTTTTTGTTTCTAGTGTTTATTCTAAAAAAGAATTGCCAACTTACTTCCAAATAGGACTTGAGAGATGCCGAAAAAGTGGTTTTCCTTTTAGACTGTAGCCACTGTGTAGAGACAGTAAGGAAGGATTTGAGTAGAAATACCTGTTTGTAGCCTTTACTCAGATCCTTTCTAATCTCTTGTTTTCTTGTGGATATCTATTCCCATCACTGAGAATAAACAATTCTTATTACTGTATTTCTGCATATATGAACATTTGTGAGTGGTAAAACTGTTTTGGTCAGCTTTCCTGTTGCTGATACAAAATACATGATACCCATCATTTAAAGGAGGAGAAATTTATTTTGGCTTGGGATTTCAGAGGGTTCTGTCCATGGCTGACTGGTTCCACAGCAGAAGGATCATGGCAGAGGGGTGTAGTGTAGCAAGCTGCTTTGTTCATAGTGGTCAGGAAGCAGAAGGGAATAGCACCAAAGAGAAAGGGGGCAGGAACCAGATATAGACCCTAAGGTCACACCTCCATGACCCAGCCAGACATAGCTAGAAATGTGCTTTGCTATTCTCCAGGCAGCTGCTAAGACAGTCAAGTTGACAGTTAATGTTCATACCTGCATAACAGGACACCAGATCACCCATTTAAAATGTTTTTGTTTCTGTTTTGGAGACAGGTCTCACTAAGTAATGTGGGCTGGCCTTGAATTCACAACTACCCTTCTGCCTCATCCTCCCAAGTGCTGGGATTTATACAGGTATGAAGCACCACACCCAGCCCCATTTAGAATTTTATTTTTATGTTTCACTTACATTATTTGAAGAGGAAGAATTGTTTACTGTAGTTTGTGCGTTCATATGTGGTTTTCTTACATTTGATACATTTGGTTGTTATACTACTTTTAAAAAATGGAGTGTTGGGCTGGGGATATAGCTCAGTGGCACGGCACCTGCCTGGCAAGCACAAGGTCCTCAGTTCGATTCCCATACCCCCCACCAAAAAATGCAGTGTTATTTCTGATCCTCCACCTTCCCAGAGGATAATAAAGTTTCTGGGGAAAGGGATAAGATATTTTAAAAATCTCTATACCTTTTAGTTGTAGGTGGTATTTCTTGGTTCAATCTACATGCATTTCTAGGACAATACATTATTTCTGATATTCTGGGCCCTGTTTTTTGTTTTTTCCTTTGTTTTTTTTAAACCACATTATTTATCATAGAATTTGTATGGGCAGGGCAAAGCAGTTGTTATTTCAAAATTTCAAAATACTGAGTGCAGACTTAAAGCTATTAATTTCTTTCTTTTGGAAGAAAGTGAGATCATATACATATGATTAAAGGGACTCTGTATTTTAACACTTTCAAACCTTGAGAGCATTTTGTCCTCTGCCTTTTTTTAAAAATTCATTTTCCCTCAGTATATCTGTGTGGTTCTAGAATTTAAAGGACATTTTTATTTCTTGTAGAAAAAATTTCTCGTTTCAATTTTTGAAAATCATTTTCATTGAGCAAGTGGCTTTTATCCACCCTTTTTTATTTTTTTGAACTTTAAGGTTTCACTAAGTTGTCCAGGTTGGGCTCTTGAAATCTTCCTGGCTCATGGTGCTGGAATTACAAGCATGTGCCACTACACCTGACTTCAAGTAACTTTCTTAAATTTCACCACAGACTGTCAGAAAATGGCCTAAATAATTTTGCTGTAGTTTTCTTTTCTGTTATTGACAGTGTTTTGTTAGTGAAAAAGATACATGGTTTGCCTTTTTCAAAAAGAATCTGAAAAGCATTTCTTGCTTTTCAGACATACTTATGAAACACATTGTGAAAACTTTATTATAATAATGTGAGAAGAAATCTAATACACATAAAAGAATAGGAGAAAACTATGTGTTGACTAGCAATTATTTGTAACCACTTTTATAGTTGGTGTTTTTTTTTTAAACTAAATCTGTGTTTTTCACTGGATGTGGTGGCACATGCCTATAATCCCAGTACTTATGAGGCTGAGGCAAGAGGAGCACAGGCCAACCTGGGCTACATAGTGAGACTCTGTCTCAAAAATTTAAAAATGAAACACAAGAGGAATCGAACTCAAGACGCAGCGCTTGCCAGGCGGGCACTGTGCTGCTGAGCTATATCACCGACCTTCCTGCTTTTTTTTTTTTTTTTTTTAATGAGGTTTTCTTTTTATTGGTTTTTTGTTTTGTTTTTGGTAGAGGGAATCACATATTTTCAATAAAGTTGTATTAAAAGAGTAGTCAATTTAATCCTTTTGGTACTGACCAAAAGTGTAGAGTACGTACTGTTTATACAGGGGAAAGAGTACCCATTAAGTTGTTGTTGTCAGGTATTGTGTCCCAGTGATGAAAAGCGGACTTGTACATTGTGCCAGTTCTGGGTCTTGCCCTTAAGTGGCCTTACAACTTCTGCTTTTTGCCTCTTGGAAGACAATCACTATGTAAGAAATACAGTTACTCTGAAATCATGGTGTTATAAGAACCCTGAAGTCAGATGAACATGCTCTGGAGGATGAGACAGTAAGTGGTAAACCCAAGGAAGCGTTGTATAAGAAGTCATTTGGGAAATGGGTGCTTCTGTCCCAGCTGCCTTAGTTGTTGCTGTGTAAGTCAGATGAGCCAGAAAAACCCTTCCCAATATCTGGCCCAGAAGATTTGGAGCAAAATAAAATGCTGTTTGTAAGCTTCTAAGGGTTTGGGTGATTTATTATGTAAGTAACTAGAACAAATACTGGGGGAAATATTCATATTTTATAATAGGTAACAGTATGGGAGAATATATTTGCATGTCTGTGTCTGAATTTGACAAGTAAGTAGCATTTACAATAGATACATTTAACTTGATCACACGGCGTGCATACACACATACCCACGCGCATACACACAAATAGTTCTAATAGAAAAGTTTGCCAAGGTAATGAACAGTTTTTAGAACAGTAAATCTTATAAGCTAACGACATAAAGAGACATGCTCAAACTCTTTAGTAATCAGAAGAATTCAGATTAAAACAAGAAGACTCAGAACACTAAAAAAAAAATTAGGTGAATGATACTATGTAGTGGGGTTGAGAGGATAGACACCTTTGTGCACTACTGGTGAGAGTGTAAAGTGGTAGAACCGTCTTGGAGGACAGTAGTTTTAAGATAAAGAAATTAAATTGTTCCTGGATATGTGGCCTCCAGAAATCTTAAGTTTATAAAGAAACAAATTTGAAGGTAACACATGTTTGGTGGCAGAGGCTTGGGTCTAACCTAGTATCCATCACTGGGAAATTAAACAGGTAGAATCTGGTGTGTACACATGTAGTACCCTATATCCCATAGAAACAAAGAACTGCATATATTGATAACATAAGATATTTTTAAATTACAGTGTTTAGTAAGAATAAATAGAACCTATAACTCGGTACCATTTGTATAAATTTAAAATATGTACACAAAAATGTTTTGCAAAGAAATGATCAAGCAGACATGTAAACACCTTGGAATGGTTACAGGAGTCCCTGGGAGGAGAGACTAGCAGTGGAGAATGAGATAAAAGATCACAAGATGCCAGTGATCATGTGTGTGCTGTGAGTCCAAACATACAGTTGATCAGATTCTGTGCTGGAGGCCCAACAATATTCCCTCTCTCCAAGAAGAGAAGATTATAGTTCTCAAGTAAATTGGAAGAATAGAAATATTTGTTCAATCTGCCATACTTGAGAAAAAATATTTTAAATGAGATCATTATAAAAGTGTGGTCAAACAGGCAGTCTCATAGTTTGTTGGATATATAAGTTGGTATGAGCTTCGTAGAGGACGGTATCAAATTCCTTAAAAATGGTCATGTCCTAGCAACAATTCAAAGTTGAAATTAAGAAACTAAAACCATTTAAATGGCATCAGGCAATATAAAATATCAAGGATACGTCCAAGAAGTTATGTGCAAGACTTGTACACTGAAACTGTAAACCTGCTGAGAAAAGTTAATACTCAACAAATGAGATATATATCATGTTCATGGATTGGAAAATTGTTGAGATTACAAACTATGTCAACTCAAGGTGATCCAAATGAAAATACCAGTTGATTCTAAAATTTGTATGGAAATGCAGAGGCTCTAATGTAGACAAGGAGAACAAAATTGGAAGCATTAGACTACCTGGGTTTAGGACTTTTAAAATATAAGTAGTTAAGCCAAATGGCTCACACCTATAACCCCAGCACTAAGGACACTAAGGTAAGAGGATCACCATGAGTTTGAGGCTATCCTGGGCTTTATAGCTTAAGGCCATCCTGTACTACATGGTAAGACCCTGTCTTACAAAAAAAAGTAGGGCCGGGGATATAGCTTAGGAGCACAGCGCCTGCCTGGCAAGCACAAAGTCATGAGTTCGATTCCTTGGACCAAAAACAAAACAAAACAAAAACGAAAAAACCAAACCAACAAACGGAAAAGTCAATTTAGTGTGATTTTTTTTTACATCATGACAAAGATATAATTAAAAGGGGCACAACAATATAGAGATGTTCACATGTATCATCAAAGGATTTTTAGCAAAATATCAGCATAAATCAGAAGAAAAATATCTTCAACAAATGATGCTGAAACAGTTGGATATCCATATATGAAGAGATACCTTGTCTTATACCATACATAGTCAAAGGTCAACTTGAAATGAATCCTGGGGCTGGGGATTTAGTTCAGTGGCACAGCGCCTGCCTGGCAAGCGTGAGGTTGTGAGTTCAATTCCCAGTACTGGAAAAAAACAAAACAAAAAAATGAATCCTAAACCTAAGCATAAGAGCTAAAATTGAAAACTAAAGCAAAAACTCCAAAATAAAATAAAAATCTTGAAGCAAACAAGAAAAATCTAATCTTAGGTAATACAAAGATTTCTTATATAAGATACAAAATGCAGGAACCTTTAAAAAATTAATAAATTGAACATGATGATTAAAAACTTACAATCAAAATAGCACTATTAAGAAAATTAGAATTGGGGATGTATCCCAGTGGGACAGTACTTGTCTTCCATACCCTGGGTTTGATTCCTGAGCACTGCCAAAAAGAAAGAAAAAGAAAAGTAGAAGGCTTAGGCACATACTGGGGAAAAAAAATAATTACAAAGATATCTGATGAAGAATTTTCCTCCAGGAGAATTATACAACTCAATGATTAAAAAAAACTAAAAGAATGAGCTATCTAGGTGTGGTGGCACATGCCTATAAATCCAGCACTTGGAAAGGCTGAGGTAACAAGATCACTATGAGTCTGAGGCTGGGCTGGGCTAAATAGTGACACCCTGTTTCAAGAAACAAAAAGCAAAACAAACAAAAAATGAAAGAAAGAAAGCAAATGCTTTCTTACATTGGCCTCTTTCCTTGATAAGCCTCCAAATCTTCAGACCCTGTTCATGAATTAAACAGACACCTCATAAACTAACTTCACATAAGCACATGAAAAGACACTTGTTTTGGTTTATTTTTTACAATAAAAAGAACACTAGTTAAATACTAAATAATACTTCTAATTGGAAAAATAATTAATACTAATTAAAGCCAGATTACCAGTATGTATCAACTAAATAAAAAGAATGGTCATACTCAGTGGTGGTGTAGATGTGGAACAAAATAGTACAGCCACTTTGGAAAATAGTTTCTCATAAAATTAAGCACAGCTTATAACCTGTTACTCTGTTTCTCAGTGTTACTTATACAAAGGAAATAAAAACTTTTTCACACAAACAGTTGCTCATGAA